ATAGTCAGATTTTCCTCGTGGGTCCATGTCACTGTGGGTTGCAGCAGCTCTGCTCTCCTGTCATATTAACAGAGGGACACCAGTTTCCTGGGGAGCAGCTCTCCTGTCCTTACCTGTGAGGTAAAGTTGTGTGTGTCATAGGCCCTTTGAAACAGACCCTGCTGTCCTTTCTTGACCTTAAATACACTGTACTAAAGTTTATTGTAAGAGGTGAATTAATGAAAATAAACCTTTTATTTCTCTAGCATTCTGTTGTGCTTTTGATTTTTTTTTAAGTTGATGTATAGGGTGTGGCTGATATATTGGGTAGTGCTGTTGAGTGAAATTTTGAAATCCTAATGATCCTTTTGGCCTGTTACAATTACTTCTATTTTAGAGCAAGAGAACATTCTCCCTTGCTGCTACGGGGACTTTATTACCTAAGGAGAACTATTTACCCAGGCATCCAGTGATGGGATGCTCAGAAGACTTTATTAGATACGCAGAACTATTTACACAAGCATCCAGTGATGGCTGATCACAACACTCCTAGCTAAGGGGAACTATTTACAACGGCGAGCTCCGAGTTGAGCTGGTGAACAAGATGTCCATGGAGGAGCTGTGCTGGTAGTAGTGTTGCCTAGCGATGTATTCCATGACATTGGAGAGTCCTGGCACCACGCAGCAGCTGACGGCACTGCGGGTGATGCCCATGCTGTGGGCGTCGTACCACTCGTTGGTGTCCTCCTCGTAGCACTCGGTGGCAACGGTGGTGCTGAACCCATTGAAGCCCCCCACCACGAACAACAGGCCGTCCATCACCTCAATGCCAAAGTTGCTGCGTGGATTTAGCATGGAGGGCACGGCGTGCCAGGCGTTGGCGATAGGGTTGTAGGCTTCCACGCTCTGCAGCCGGCTGTTCCCATCAAACCCTCCGACCTGTGAATGCCAAAGGGACAGAGCTTGAAAGGGGCCTTTCCTCAGGCAGGTCCTGGCAGGCACAGTGAGATGGGAACTGCTCCTGCCTCCCTGGCTGCAGTCTGAGCATGGCGGAGAGCACGAGATCTCCCACCATGCCTCTTGCTTATTGCTCCCTGCTCTCTGAGGAGCTTTCCAAAGCACTTTATGCAACTGTCAATTTTGACCTTTCTCCAGAGGCTGGATGCAGTTCATGGAGAGGGTAAACAATGGATGAGCAGGCCCAAGTCCGTGCTCTGTGCTGCTGATGCTGTTGGCACCAGCAGAAATTATGTTCTTTGCTGTAGCTGCTTAAACATTGCCAAACACCCTTTTTATACTCAAAAATGGGTGATAACACTCTCAGGAAGTGCATCGACCGTTCTGGCTCTGACTTCCCGAAACCTCACATGAACACATGGCCACCCTGGAGGTCTGGGAGCTGCAGCCACCCACAGGACTGCAGTGCTGGCTGGTGTTGGCCCTTACCGCGTACACCTGGTTCCCGTACGCCATCACCCCAACTCCGCTTCTCCTGCTGCTCATTGGGGCGATCAGGGACCACTGGTTTGTGGTGGGGTTGAACACTTCAGCTGAGCTGAGGCACTGATCACCATCAAACCCACCACAGATGTACACCTGGGGACAGGAGAGGTGTGAATGGGGTGGTTAGACCCTTGCTGATGTTGAAGAGAAAATGAATGGTGAAGCAGGATTTTTGGGGTGTTGTGTTTTAGAGTGGGAATGGTCATCCTGGATTCAAAGCAGCAGCTGTGCAAAGAGCTGATGCCAGCAAGATTTCTACCCTTGATTTTCCAAGCTGCATGAAGCATACAAGCCTGGTATTGCACCTGTGGCCAGGAAAAGGGCTGTCGGGCACCAGGTTGGCAGCAGCTCTGGAAGAGTTTTTGTACTCCTGGTCACTGCCACACCAGGCAGGCTGCTTTATATCTGTAGCTCCAGGATTTAGTGAACTGTTATGAATTTAAGTGTTACAAATTTAGTGGAGGTTTATGTGAACTTTCTTCATGCTGCAACCCCAACCTCTCTTATTTGGGATTAGTTTACCTTTCCATTCAGCGTGGTTGCACTGGCGTCGCTCCTCTGCTCGTGCATGGGGGTGATCAGGGTCCACTGGTTGGTGTCTGGGTCATATCGCTCTGCTGTGTTGAGCCTCATGTACCCATCAAACCCTCCCATGGCATAGATGAAGTTGTCCACAACGGTGACGCTGACGTAGCAGCGCCGTGAGTGCATGGGCGCTACCTGCTGCCATGTCTTCTGGAGGGGATCAAACCTTTTGACGATGTTGAAATAATCTGTGCCATCGAATCCACCGATAACATAGACGTGGCCTTTCAAATAAGCCGAGCCGTGATAGGCAACAGGGCTCTCCTGCTCCCAGGGGATGTTCAGCCACTTGTCAGTGCGGCCGTCGTAGGTCTCGATGGCGCTGGTGGCGCCGCCCCCGCTCCAGCCCCCGATGGCAAAGAGGATGGCGTAGGGCAGGCGTGGCCGGGTGAGTGGGTTGGCGTTGACTGAGGAACTCTGGCCGTAGGAGTTCAGGTCGTAGATTTCGGACAGGGCACTGATGATGAGATCTTTGCAGTTGGCATTGTCTTTCACGTACTCGTGAGCTTTGACGTTGTTCATGAAGTAGTCGGATTGTAGGAGTGCCAGTCGAACCTGAAACACGCAAGGAGGAGGTTGGAGTACTGACAGTGATGGTTTCCCCCTCGGTAGCCTTTGGGGACAGCTCCAAAGCTGCGCTGCACCCACCTTGCTGAGCAAGCAGGCGATGTGCTGCCTCCTGTTCTGCGGGTCATGAGCGATCCACCTCAGCACAGCCTCAAACACGGCTTCTTCTCGCCGCACGTTAAGCTCATCCTTCTCAATGATGTGTGCCAGCTCCTCGGCAGAGAGGTCTAGGAACTCCTCGGACACCTGGGACACCTCCTCGAAGTGGTGCAGGATGTACACGCAGGCAGCTGCGCGCAGGTCGGGGCAGTGGTAATAGTCAGTGAGTCTGCAAATGCCAATGCAATTCTCAAAGCACAGCCTGGAACTGAGGAACTCACAGCACAGGCTGACGATGCCCATGACATTGAACTGATCTGCTGCAGCCAGCAAACTCTCAACATTGTCCTCTGTGATCGGTACTGTCCCGGTGTAGGCGTAATTGATGATGAGACCCATCATTTCAGCTGAAATGCCAGGGATTTGATAGACCATCTTGTCTGCGCTGTCCCAGTTGGTAAACAGGGTCCTGAAAACATGGTGTTGCTGAGTTAAACCCTGCCCCTGAATCGCCTGTGCTCCCCCTGCCCCAAGGGCACCAGTTTTGGCCTTGGTAGGAGCCATTCTGGGAGGCCCCATGGTTTATTGATTAATGTTTTATTTGCTGGCTGTTTGAAAAAGGAGACACAGCCTCTGGAGCATACCAGAGCTGGAGGCAGCAGGGCAGGGGGTTTCACCTGAGAGGAGCAGAGGGGCAGAATCCCCCCACTGCCTGCTGCCCACACTGTGGGGATGAGCCCAGGACAATGAAGGGTTTCTGGGAGCCAGTGCACACAGCCAGGGCATGTTCAGCCTCTCACCCACCAGCACCCCAAGTCCTTCTCCCCAGCGCTGCTCTCACTCCATTCGTCCCCCAACCCAGACTGACACTGGGGTGGGGTTTCCCCAACCCAGGTGCAGCACCAACACTTGGTCTTGGACCCCAGAGAGTCACAGGGTGTGGGGAAGGCAAAGCTGGGCCAGGCTGGCCAGACTCCAGCCCTGCACTGTGTCTGGGGCTCCTCGGACACCACTGCCAAGAGCCACTGATATGTGGATTAATCCTGGTGTTCAGGGAGGTGTGAGGACTGTGAGAAATCACTTGGTGAGAGGTTCAGGGCAGGTGGAAGTCCTGGAGAAGTGCTGAGGTGGGGTGACCTCAAGCAGGGCATACTGTTTGTCCCCATCCCCTTGTGCTTCAAGGACTGACCTGAAGTAGATACTGCAGCAAGAGAGGATGAGCTTGTGAGCCTTGAATTCCACCCCATCTACACTGATGATCACATCACAGAATCTCCCTTCCAGGCGGAGTTCATTGGAGATGCTGCAACTCCTATCGCTCATCTTCCTCTCCATGGTGGAGGATGAATATTTGGTAGGTGCCAAGCTATCCCGCAGGTTGGAGCCAGAGGCAGTGGACCTTGCTGAGGTGTGTGGAGCACTCTGGTGTTGTCCCCAAACATCCAGCACTGAACCCCCTTGCTGGTTCTGGACTGTGCCCCATAATGACATCACAGATGCAGGGGTGACCCAGGCCCAGCATTCTGTGGTTGCCCCCAGGCCTTGCTTCCCCACAGCCCGGCTTATGCTGGGTCCTGGACCTGCACTGTCTTGATGGAGCAGAACCAGCCACGTGCTCGATCCCCTGGCAGCCCTCCAGTAATATTTCACTGCCCCCAAATGTGGGCATGAACCTCTGCTGAAGAGCCCTGTGCCGCCTCGCCCAGGAGGAAGCTGAGGTACTCATGTCGGTGCTGTCACACACACTGTCCCTGCTGCTTTGTCACTGACGTTGTGCCTGGGGAGGTTTGGGCTGGGTATTGGAAATGTTGGGAATTGTTTTTCCTGAATGGCCTGTTTAGCCCTGGCATTAAAACCCAAACTCTTGGCTCATCTTGTGTGCTGTGGAATACTCTGGTGGCTGAAAACAAACCCAGTCCCAAGGAATTAGAACTTTTTATGTTCTTAATACCGCCTTGTAACAGGGTGCTGTAACACCCGATGTTACAGGCTGCCGAGGGCAGTAGCGGTGGATCCTCGTCCCTGGAGGGGGTTAAAAGCCTTGTGCATGTGGCACTTAGGGACATCGGTTAGGGTCGGCCTTGGCAATGCTGGGGGATGGTTCTTTGAGCGCTTTAGGGCTTTTCCTCGGCCAGCGTTCTGTGACTCAGCGCTCAGCGCTCCCGGGGCTGCGGAGCGGTTCGGTGCCGGGAGCCCTGCGGGCACGAATGACTTTTTTTTATTTTTTAAATTTAAAAAAAATTATTTATTTATTTATTTTATTTATTATATCTCGCCTTCCCGGCTCGTCGCTTGGGAAACTCAACCGCCAGGAGCCGCAGCGGGCGCGGGGCGGAGCACGGGAGGATTCTCCGGTTCTCCGCCCGCAGCAACCACGGAACGCGGCCGGAGCCCCGCCCGGCGCCCCCGGGCCCCGCGTTCCGGTCCCGCCCCGCGGCTGCGCGGCCCGGAACGGAACGGAGCGGAACGGAGCGGAACGAGATGGTGAGAGCGGGGCTGCGGGCCGGGAGCGCGGCCACACCGGGGGACAGAGGGGCCCGGAGGGTCTCGGTGCCCCCGGAGCTGGGGAGGGGCTCCGGGCGGCACCGAGCGGGGTCTCTGCCTGCAGGTGCCCGAGCTGGAGAAAGGCACGGTGCGGATCCGGCAGCCCGAGCGGGTGCGGAGCATCATCCGCTCCCTCCGGGAGCAGGGGGTGGCCAAACTGCAGGTACCGCTGCTCCGTCCTTTCCTTAGCCGCCCCTTCCTCGTCCCCCGGTTCCTGCTCGGCTTCTCCCAGCCCCGCGGGGAAGCACCTGCGGCTGGAGAAGGAGAAGCCCCCGAGGAGAGGGGGAAGGGGCTGGTGGCTCCCTCCGGCCCGACCTTTGGGCTCCCGGTTATGGACATTAACTGTGCGCCGCTCCCAGGGCCCTGCTCCGCCCAGGCGGGATGAAGGCGATAAGAGCTCCGGGGTGGGAGGGTGAGCACATCATCTGTCTGCCTCGTGGCTGCTAGGGGTGGCCACGGGAGATCAGCGGTGCTGGGTGCGAGTTCTCGCAGGTGGCAGCGCCTTGGGCTCACTCTGGGCAGCGCAGAACGTGCTGGGTCACGGAGGGACGAGCTTTGTGCTTTTCTCCCCTCTTCCAGGTCATTTCTGACTTTGACATGACGCTGAGCAGGTTTGGTTGCAATGGCAGGCGCTGCCCCACGTCTCACAGTGAGTGGAAGCCGTTGTTTTTACTGTTGCTTGTTCTGTTTGGTTTCTGTGTTTGTACTTGATGTGGTTCCTGTCATCCCCTGTGCCCTCCTCTGCCAAGCCTGGCCGCTCTGTCCTGTCCCCTCGCAGGTCTGGGCCTCGCTGCCTGGTGCCAGCTGCCCACTGCAGGAGCCAGGAGCCAGCTCCTGGGCTGGCTGCCTTCATCCCACTGCCCACGGGCACCGAGGCTGCTCAGGGGCTCAGAGTGGGAGCCACTGCCTTGGGACCCCTCAGCGAGCCTGTGCTCAGGTCACGGTGTCACCACGGCTTGTACTGGGAGCAGCCAGCACTGAGACACAGGGGAGGTGCTGTAGAAAGCCTCTTTATGATTCTGTGCTACATCATTTTATTTTCTTTGCAGACATCCTTGATACCAGCCGTGTGATCAGCGAGGATGGCAAGAAGAAGGTGGGTGCTGTGTGTAAGGCTTGGTGGCTGTTGTACCTGTCACCTGTCATTGGGAGGTCACACGGGCTGCTGTGGCAGCTCTCCCAGCTGTGGTGGCTGCCAGAATGGAGTGAGAAAGTGTCCAGGCTGCATTTCAGCCAGCAGTGACAGAGGAGAAGTTAAAAAGGGAACTCAAATTTGCATGTGCAGCTGTGGGTATTTCAGTTTGATAAGAGGAAGAAGGGAGGGCTGTTTGTACCTGCAGCACTTGGAGTGAGGTGAGGGCCAGCCAGGCTGCTGAGAGTTCCAGGTGTGCTCTGAGGGAAACTGCTCAGTGACAAGGTTTTGGTTGTGTTTGGGAAGAGCAATGCTTTGGAGAACTTCAGAAATGCTAGTTTTGTTTAGTCTCTTTAGAGCTGATGTTCACTTTGTTCCTTTTCCCTCTGTGTGACACTCCAGCTGAAGGATCTGCTCCACTATTACTATCCCATTGAAATAGATCCCAACCGGACCCTGGAAGAGAAACGTCCCCTCATGGTGGAGTGGTGAGTGCTGTTTGTGGTGAGGCCTTGTCCTGACAACCTCTTGTCCCTGAGGATACAGGACATGGGGCTTGAATCATCCCTGGCCTTGGCAGGGATCCCACAGGGTTTAGCTGTTGTGACTCTGCCTGCAGCTCTGTCACTCTGCCTTTCCCTCATCAAATACAGGTGGACCAAAGCCCATGAGCTGCTGGTGCAGCAGAAGATCCACAAAAGTGACATAGCCCAGATCGTCAGAGAGTCAGAAGCGATGCTCATTTGGGCACACAGGGATGTGATGCTGAGCTTTGGGCACACAGGGATGTGATGCTGAGCTTTGGGCACACAGGGATGTGATGCTGAGGTTTGGGCACACAGGGATGTGATGCTGAGGTTTGGGCACACAGGGATGTGATGCTGAGGTTTGGGGACGGGGGTGTGATGCTCAGGTACAGCTTGGCTGCCCACAGCCCTTCTCTCCTGCCCATATAGCCAGTGCTTTGCTCACTGGTCTCCAGCCATGTGACCAGTGCCAGCCTCCCTTGCTCACTCCCTGAGGTTGAGTTCAAGCTAAATCAGAGCATGAGACACAGCCTGAGCTCACTCCTTGGCTGCAGGCTGCTCCCTGCCTGCTCTGAAACCAAGCCCCTCTCTGGGGCCTTGGCAAGGAGCAGCTGAGGGGCTGGTGCTGGGCACAGCTCCCCCTTTGCAGGGCAGGGTGCAGGGGTAGCCTGCAGCTCCCTGCTTCCAGCAGAGCTGTGTTCTTTGCCCTGGAACTGCCAAGCCTTATGCAGGCCCTTGGCTCAGCAGCACATCTCACCCACAGCACAAAAATGTTGTGCTAGAACTTGCTGCTAAAGCTGACCTGGCAGCTGTGGCCCTAAGGCTGGCTCAGGGAGCTGGGCTCTGCCAGGCTGCTGCCAGGCTCAGGGAGGAGATGGCTTTTCATGAACCCAAGTTCCACTTCTGCATGGAATTGTGTCCTGGCAGACTGGGGCAGCCACAGGTTGTTCTGATCATCCTCCCAAGCAGTCTGAGCTGTTGCACATCTCCCACTCGTGTGGGTGTGTGTGGGCAGGCTGTGCCCTGTGCCCCTGCTGAGCTGCTGATGTGCTCAGGAGATGCCAGGCAAAACCTGGAGTGCTCCGTGCTCCCACAAGTGCCCACCCAGAGCTCTGGGGCTCTGCACAGGGTGTGCTGGTGCCACAGAGAGCTCCTGCTGTTTGCAGAGCTTCCCTGTGTGTGTTTGGGAAGTGGTGGGCAGGAGCAGGAGCTGGGCTGAGCCTGCTGCCAGCACAGGGCACCAGGTACCACGCTGGGAGCTGGAAACAGCCCTGTGCAATGGACACTGCTGCTCTAGGGATGGCTTCGAGGAGTTCTTTGATCAGCTGCACAAGAACAACGTCCCCCTGTTCATCTTCTCTGCTGGAGTTGGTGACATCCTGGAGGAGATCATCCGTCAGGCCAACGTCTTCCACTCCAATGTCAATGTGGTGTCCAACTACATGGGCTTCAGTGATGATGTGAGTTCTTGCCTTGCACCTGTGTGCTGAGTGTGCGAGGAGAGCAGTGTGGTGTGGTATTTTCTGGGTCCCCTGTCAGAGGAGGAAGTGATGAATCTGACTCCATGTTCTTAGAAGGCATTATATTACATTATATTATATTATATTATATTATATTATATTAATTATATCATGTTATATCATATCATATTATATTATATTACATTATATTACATTATATTATATTACATTATATGTTCTGACACAGAGGGACCTGGGGGTGTCTGCTGAGCTCCTGCTGTGTCTGGGAAATGTCAGAGCAGTCAATGACCCCCTTTTTGGTCATCCTGACCCTCAGCTGTTGGTTGTTCACTGTCCTGGCAGGTGGAAGAGAGGAGGAGGAAGTACCTGGATTCCTACGACATTGTGCTGGAGAGCGACGAGACGCTGGACGTGGTGAACGGCATTCTGCGGTACATCCTGGCTGAGACATGAGCTGGGGACACTGTCCCAGCTCCAGCCACACAGCAGGCACTGGGCAGGGGGTGTCCTTCCCAGGACAGAGCTGGAGGGGACTGCTGGTGCTGGCTGGGCTCCATCCTGACCTCACTAATGCCCTTGGCCAGCCCTGGAGCAGGAGAGGTGAGGTGGAGGAAGCTTCTCCTTTCCCTTTCCCCCAGCTCTGCCTGGCTCTGCAGTTTCCCACCCAGACTGGCTCTGTCCTGCTCAGACTTCATCCCAGTGGGAATTCACCCCTGAGGCCACAACAAACCATTCCACATCTCAGAGAGAGATGTTCTGCGCTGCCTTCAGCAGCTGAGGGTGGAATGGAGATAGTTTACTGTGGGCTGAGGACAGACCCACTTTAAATGTTCCTGGTTAAGAAAAGAAGTCTCTCTCTTGTCCTGTTTTCTGTGGGCTTCAAAGCTCTGGGGCTGACTCTGGTGCCAGTGCAGCCACTGGGCTGGTGTGGCCCTGCTGGCCATCACATCACCCAGCCCCACATTCCCCATGGAAACCAGCAGCTCTGGCCTCGTGTCTCAGCTCACCCGTCCCTCTTGCACCAGTACAGCTCTTACTGTGAAAAAAAAAAGGCCCCAGAGCTCAGCTGCTGCTGCTGCCCAAAGCCAGAAGTTTGTCTGCCAGGGATCAGAGGAGGGGTGGGAATGGGGGGGAGAGGCCAGTGGCAGAATTTTGAGTTTTAAACAATGTTTTACCTGACTCTGTCTGTGTAATAAATTTCTGGGCTGATCCTGGGCTCTCAGAGCAGCAGCAGGAAAAGACCATTTTATTAATGTATAACCTCTGGTTATGTGGGACTTTGGGAAGAGCAGATTTGTTCTGTTTTGGAATAAAACCACAATTGGCTAAAGCTGGGTCACAGCTGGTTTGTGACTGAGGGGCTGGAGCTGCTCTGTTCCCTTGGCTGGCACTGGCAGCTGCCTCTGCTCCCCAGCTCCCCATCCCACCAGAGCCCCCAGCCCTCACTGGGTGCTGGAACTAAAGCCCTGCTGGGTTTGCTGGAGGATCCCAGGTAGGAATTTTGGTTTCTCCTGCCAGAGCCAGTGGATGTTGGAGCCTGGAATCCCCCTGGGCACTGGTGAAGCTGGTCCCTGTGCCCCTGCCCCAACACATGGCAGTGTTTCATGGCAAAGCAACCAAACACAGTCAAAGTCCTTGGAAACCTGGAGGAATTATTTATTTGGTGTGAGGCAGAGTCCCTGTTTGAGGGGTTCACTCTGCCCTGCTGTGCTCATGCATTCCTTCTGTCCCTTCCAGGACACACTGCAGAGGTTTTGGGAGCTGGCAGGTGCCAGAGCTGTGCTGGTCCCAGCAGGAGGACCTGAGCACTGTGACCTGCATTTAGGCACTGAAATTAAACAATTTCTGATTTGTCTCAGTCACTGGGGGCTGGGAGGTGGGGAGGGTGTGAAGGGGGACAGTGCTGCTCCCTGAGGGCTGGAATGAGGGTCTGTTTCCCTTCTCCCAGCTGATGAGGGGTTTGCCAGGTTCCACAGATCCAGGGGGCCAGACTTTTGGGATGGCAGATGCCTGCAGAGTTTGGGGTTTCACCGTGGGAACCTGAGCCCTCTTCAGCCTCTTGTCCCAGGGAGGATGGCAGCAGGGGCAGAGCAGGGACTGGGACAAAAGCCTTCTCTTTCTTCTGTCTAAAAGAATTTTAAGTGTATATATAAAAAACCCAATCCCCAACCCTAAACTACAAAAAAATGGTGGAGGTGAGGGGGATCCCCCCCTACATCTGCCTGCAGCACAGATGGGTGAGGGGGCTGAGCTGGACCTGGTGGAGGATGAAGGGGCTTAGGGAGGGGACATCTTGTCTGGATTTATTAGCTGGGGGCTGAGTTTTCCTGCTCAGGAGAACACATCAAAACACCCTCAATTAATAAGAGGTGAAAATCACAACCCGGCCCCCTGCAGGACTGGGGAGGGGCAGGGGCAGATCCCCGGAGTGGGAGCGAGGCCCTGACATGGCAAGGATGAGTCCAGAACAGCAGGGACTGCTCCTCAGAGCTCCTCGTGAATCTTCTCCTGGTCCTCATCCGACTTGAGCTTCAGCTCCTCGGGTGTGATCCTCCCGTCCTGGTTGCGGTCCTGGTTCCGGAACATGTCAGCAATGACCTTCTCTGGGTCGGAGCTGGGCATCAGGCGGCCCTTCCCCTCCGCCACCTGCGTCTTGATGAAGGTGGAGAACTGCAGAGGGAACAGATGCTGCTTGGCTCTGCACAGCCAGCACCAGGCAGGGCAGGGAGAGCACAGCCCATGCCAAGGACAGGCAGGGACCGGAGCAGGGGCTGCCCTCGGGGACACTGCCCACACCCAGCTGTCGCTGTCATTTTTTCTGGAAAAATCCCTTCGCCAGGATTTCTTCTCCTGGAAGAAGCTGAGAAGCCTCAGAGAAAAATTAAAGCAATAATTATCTGATTGCTTCTCCTGTGTTTTGCTGCTTTGGAATGTGGTATGGAGATTGTTTACCAGCTGTCATTTTTTGATTGGTTTCATGTGAATTGTTTTAACTTAATGACCAATCACAGCCCAGCTGTGTCGAGACTCTGGAAGTAGTTATGGGTTTTCATGATCATTCTTGTTAAGCCTTGTCTGTATCCTTTCTCTATTCTTTAGTACAGTTTTAGTATACCATTCTATAATACAATAAAGTAACAAAATAATAAATTAGCCTTCTAAGAACATGGAGTCAGATTCTCAATTCCTCCCCTGTCTGGGGCATCTCACAAACACCACACACACCAAAGCAATGCTTTGGCTGGGGTGTTCTTCCTGCACAGCTCTGCAGCCTCCCAGGTGCCCAGGGCCAGCAGTGCCCTTCAAGTTCTGCTGCCCAGGGTGGGTCCCCTGTGCCCCCATTTCCTCCTGCACCCCACCACTTGGGACCCACTCACCTCTTCAGCAGGGATCCCCCCGTCCTTGTTGAGGTCCATCTGCTCGTACAGGTTGGCTGGTGGCTCCCCGTGCCAGATGAAGAGGTAACCCTCAGGAACCCCCTCCTCCATGGAGATCAGCTCCACCTCGAAGCGGAGCACGGCGCTGCCAGGCACCCCCCTGGCTGGAAACACAGCACAGGGGAGCTCCAGCACCACGGGGAGCAGGGCAGCACCCTGGCCCTGAGCCCCACGGCCCAGGCAGGCTGAGGGGTGATGGAGCCCAGCCCAGCAAGGCTGAACCACCCATTTTGCTTGCACACATCAGCTGCTGCTCCCCTACCTCCGCTCTCGCCGTGGCCCAGGTGTGGGGGCACGATGAGCACGCGCCTCTCCCCTGCACACATGTCCAGGAGGCCGCTGTTCAACCCCTCGATCACCTTGTTGGCCCCCAGAGTCACCTCCTGGGGCTTCTCGTAGTCATGGCTGCAGGAGGCACAGAGGAAACAGGTGAGAAAAGTCCCTGGATTGGGTGTTCAGCCCTGAAATCCCAACCCTTCCATCCCACCGTGGCCCAGAATCCCACATCTTCCACCCTGGCATGCCATGAACTTCCACATCCTCCATCCTGGTGTGCCATGAACTTTCACATCCTCCATCCTGATATGCCATGAACTTCCACATCCTCTGTGAACAGCCACGTCCATCTCACTGTGTCCCCTGAACCCTCCTGCTGCAGGTCCCAGTGCTGCCCGGTGCCCGCCCAGCCCCAGCCCGGTGCCAGCCGCGGTTTGGCCCTGGGAAGGCCGGGGTCACACCGGGAGGGACGGGGTCACACCGGGAAGGCCGGGGTCACAGCGGGAAGGCCGGGGTCACAGCGGGAAGGCTGGGGTCACACTGGGAAGGACAGGGTCACACTGCGAAGCCCGGGGTCACACCGGGAGGGATGGGGTCACACCGGGAAGGCTGGGGTCACAGCGGGAAGGCTGGGGTCACACTAGGAGGGACAGGGTCACACTGGGAAGGCCGGGGTCACAGCGGGAAGGCCGGGGTCACAGCGGGAAGGCCGGGGATGCTGGGGCACGCACGAGGAGAAGAGCCGGGTGCCATCCAGCAGGGAGCAGTTGTAGTGGTAGCGCACGAAGTCCCGCTGGCGGGTGGTGACGTTGCAGCCCTCGGGCCGGAACACGGTCTCGATCTCCACCGGGTCCGCGGGGTTGTGGAAGTCGATGATGTGAACATCAAAGATGAGCACGGCCGAGCCGGGAATTTTATCCCCTGGAAGAGGAGGATGAGGAGGGACTTTATGAAAAATCCCTCCGCCAGGATTTCTTCTCCTGGGAAGCTGAGAAGCCTCAGAGAAAAACGTAAATAATAATTATCTGATTTGCTTCTCCTGTTTTGCCATTTTGGAATATGGTAGCTGAATGTTTGATTGGTTCCATGTGAATTTCATATAATACAATATAATATATAATAATGTAATATAATATATTATATCGTAGTATAATACAATAATATAATATAATATAAGTAATACAATATATCATCATGTAATATAATATATAATGTCATAATATAATACAATATCATAATATATTATAATATATAATAATGTAATATAATATAGTATATAATATCCTAACACAGAATATAATATAATATAATATAATATAATATAATATAATAATCAGCCTTCTAAGAATATGGAGTCAGATTAATCTCCTCCCTTATCCTGGGACCCTCACAACCAGCACATACCTGCACCATTCTCCCCGTAAGCCAGGTGTGGGGGGATGACCACCCGCCGGTGCTCTCCCACGCAGACCCCCTGCAGCCCCTGATCCATGCCAGGGATGATGTAGCCCTTCCCAATGTAGGTGTTGTAGGTCTGATTGCGGGAGTAACTGCAGCAAGAGAACCCCCAGCACCATCAATGCCCCAGCACCCACACCCCAAACCCTCTCCTGCTCCCCCAGGAACCAAACCTTGCCCATAGAGATGCAACAAACAGATATTGGGGTTTTTTTTACCCTATTTCATGCCCATTTTCCCCTCTCCAGCCTCTCCTTGCAGGAGAGGACACCAGGGGCTCTCCTACCACTTCCTCCCACACCTGGAGTCGAAGAGTGTCCCATCCATGAGTGTCCCGTTGTAGTGGTAGCGGACAAAGTCCCCGGTGACAGCTCGGCGCCGGCAGGACTCCGGCACCTCCAGGTGCTCCAGGGAGACGCCGTCCTTGGGATTGTGGAAATCCACCAGCAGCACGCTGAACACCAGCGACGCCTGCGGTGGGATCACCGTCCCTGGGAGGGGACACGGGTCAGCCTCAAGGAGGATCCTGGACCAGGGGGCTCTGGTCAGAGCAGGGAGGGAAGGGGCTGGCACCATGGGGTGGTGCCTGGCTCACCGTAGCCCTTCTCCCCATAGGCCAGGAACGGGGGGATGATGATGCTCCTCTTCTCCCCAGCGCACATCCCCAGCAGCCCCTGGTCCATGCCCTTGATCAGCCACCCAGTGCCCACGTACGTGTCATAGGTGCTGCCCTTGCTGTAGCTGGTGGTGGAGAATGAGGGTGGGGGTGGCTCTGGGGCCACACCAGCAGCCCCAGCCAGAGCAGGGCTGGTTTGGGGGGTCATGGAGCTGCAGCAGCCCTGCTGGGGAGCAGGGAGGGAGCAGGGCTGTGTCAGAGGCTGATTTGGGGGTCAAGGAGCTGCACCGGCCCTGCTGTGGAGCAGGGAGGGAGCAGGGCTGTGCCAGAGGCTGGTTTGGGGGGTCATGGAGCTGCAGCAGCCCTGCTGGGGAGCAGGGAGGGAGTACAGGGTGAGGCTGCTCTGACCGTGTGCTCAGGCTGGTGTTCCTGGGTCCCAGCCACCCCTAGCAGCCCAGTGTGGAGGCAGAGGGTGCATCCCAGCCCCACAGGTGCCCTGAGGCCAGGGTGCATCCCAGGGGTCCATACCTGGAGTCGAAGGGGGTCCCATCCAGCAGAGTGCCGTTGTAGTGGTAGCGCACGAAGTCCGAGTTCTCCACCGTGCGGTTGCAGCGCTCGGGTTTGGACAGGGTGGTGATCTGCAGCTTGTCATTCTTGTTCCAGATGTCCAGCATGACGACATCGAAGTACAGGGTGGCATCTGGGGGGATCAGCCCCGCTAAAGGGGCAGCAGCAAGGACAGAGCACCTTAAGTGGGACCAACACTGAGCCCAGGCCAGCCATGGGTTCTGCCCCCTGAAACCTCTCCTGAACCCTCTCCTGGAGACCCATGGCAGCCCCTGGGAAGGCAGCACGGTCCAGCTGGGGGCAGGACCCTCATTCCCAGGGAAGCCCCACTTCAGCACCACTCACCCTGGCAATGGAGCCACCCTTAGGCTGCATCCTCCAGGGGGGCACTGGAGCCCTGTCCCTGCTCAGGCCAGCCCTGGGGGCTTTGCTTCCTCAGCCCCCCCGTGCCAGGGGCCCTTACCCACGCCGATGCTGCCGTAGCCCAGGTGGGGTGGCACGATGAGGTGACGCCGCTCGTTGACGCACATGCCCTGCAGCCCCCGGTCCATGCCCGTGATCAGCCGCCCAACGCCCACCACACCGGCCACCGTGGCCCCTCGGTCGTAGCTGGGGCAAAGGGACAGAGCCATCAGAGCTGAGAGAAAGGATGAAGCTCCCAAAGCTGCCCGTGCTGGTGGGGCAGTGCACGGGTCTCACATCACAGCCTGGTCCCTGTGCTGCAGGCAGCGCCCATTGCTCGAAAATGTGGGTCCTACTGGGCTCAGTGCCATGCTGCTGGAGGGCAGCTGGCCCCTGGGGCACTGGTCAGGATTTCAGCCTGACCATGCACCCCCAGAAGCCATCCACACCCTGCCCAGATCTCACCCACTGGGCTGGGCTTGGAGGCTGGCAGCTCTGGGGCTTCCTGCTGCTTCCAAATCCTTTTGTACACAGCACACTGGAGCTTTGCACAGTGATGGGGAAAGATGACATCCCGGCCTCGTTTTTAAACTGAAAATTTGTTTTTATTTTTAAACCTTAAAATACTCCAAGGAACTGCTGGGGCAGCAGATGTCCTCCTGACAGAGAATTCTTTTAGCAGTGTCCCCAGGCTCCCACTGCAGTTACTTTCTCCCCCATTGATGCTCACAAGAAAGATAAGACACATCAAACTGTGAACCCCTTTGCTTTCCAGAGCTCCCAAACAACACCTGCCTGGGAAATTTTGATTGCTACATGGCTCCAGTTATTCCTGTGTCCCCAGTTCTCCTTCCTGCACATGGTGCTGCAAACCAGGGGCTGCCCCAACCCTGATTCCCAGCCAGCACGAGCAGAGCAGGGACGATGCAGGGCCAAGGAACTCTGAGGCCAGCAGAGCAAAGCCTCTGGTATAATGAAAGGTTTCACTGCTGCCACGTCTCAAAGTGCTCTAAGCATTTTCTGCCTGTGCAGCACATGCACATACGTGTTCCTGCGTGCAGAGCGTGCCAATGAGGGCCAAATCCTGCCTGTGCCCTGGACAGGCTGTCCCCCAGCTCTGTGCAGCTGCAGGGCTGCAGGCTCCTCGAAGGGCTGGGAGCTTCTGTGGGACAGCCCAGGCTGGGGGGCTGCAGCCTGGGCTGGGGGTTCGCTTCAGGCTGACACATGTACAGGCTCCTGTGTTACCCCAGCACCCACCAAAACCCCTCCTCGGTTCACAGCCGGGGGGACTGGGCGTTGTCTCCGGCCTGGCTGCCGCTGCCCGGGGCTGGGGGCGGCATGCGGGGTCCCCGCAGCCGCCTGCCTGCCCCGGCATGCGGGCTGGGGCCTGGGGGAGGCATGCAGGGTCCCGCCGCAGCTGCCCCCCGCATGCAGCCGGCACGGAGCCGCGGGCGATACCTGGAGTCAAACTTTTTGCCATCTTTAAAGGTCCCATTGTAGTGGTAGCGAATGAAATCCCCCATCTGCGCCTCCCGCAGGCAGATTTTGGGAATATAGTATCTGTCTATCACCACGTCTTCCAAGGGGCCGGGGTCGCCCAGCGCCGGGGCCCCCAGGACGCCCAGGAGGAGGAGGAGGAGGAGGAGGAGGCAGCATTGGCTGCCCGGGGCCGTGGCCATGGCGCTGGGGCTCCGGCGGCGGAAGGGCCCGGCCGGGGAAGGAGGCGGGCGGGGGGTTCAGGACGCCCCTTTCCTGCCCGGGACGCCCCTTGCCTTCGCTCTCCCGTGCCTTCCCCTCCGCCCGCCCAGCCCGGCCCTCTCGGAATTTCTGTAGACGTGTCCGGGCCCCCCGCGCTCCCCCCGCGCCGGGAGCTGACACCGCGGCAGGGAGCGATCCACGGCGGGAGGGGTTATTCTTTTCCCCTCTTTTGTTTTTCCTCTTCGTTTTTCCCCTCCTTTATTTATTTCTCTTCTCCCTCTCCCCCTTTTCCTCTCCTTTTTTTTTTTTTTTCTCTCCCCCTTCTCATTATTTACTCACTCTCTCTCTCTCTTTTTTTTTTTTTTTTAATTGAGCAATTCCTCCTCCGAAGGAAAAGCTGACGGAGGCACTGGGGAGCGGCTGTGCGGCTGCAGGCCCAGCCCGGCCCTGCCCTGCCCGGCCCTCGGTCCTAGCGCTGCTGTGCCTCCTCCTCCTCCTCCTCCTCTTCCCTCTGCTCCTGCCTTCCCCCTTTTCCTCTCCTTTTTTTTTCTCCCCCCTCTCATTATTTACTCACTCTCTCTCTTTTTTTTTTTTTTTTAATTGAGCAATTCCTCCTCCGAAGGAAAAGCTGACGGAGGCACTGGGGAGCGGCTGTGCGGCTGCAGGCCCAGCCCGGCCCTGCCCTGCCCGGCCCTCGGTCCTAGCGCTGCTGTGCCTCCTCCTCCTCCTCCTCCTCTTCCCTCTGCTCCTGCCAGCTCATTGCTGCTCAGTCCCAGCAGCTCGGGAGAGTAAATAAAAGGAATTGAGTGTTTTAATAACCAGTCTGCTGCTGGCAGAGCCTTTAGTGAATAGCAATCATGAAAAATGTGAAATTCTCCCAGCAGTCCTTCCCAGACAAACACAGCCTCAAGCACTCAGGAGGTGTTGCCCACACATCCCCGCTCCCCCAAATCCATCGGCAAGAAACAGGTCCCGTTGCAAGAGCCTTCGGTGAGTTCCAGGTGGGAAATAAAACGGGCTGTGAACCCAAACCCAAATCCCAGCCCAGCTCCTCTGAGGCTCAGTTCTACCAGTGACAACAGCTCCAGCAAAGCACCGCCAGCTCCCCCAGCTCAGCCCCGGGGCGCTGTGCAGCCCCCAAACCCGGGTGAGCATCTTCAGTGTCCCGCTCGGAGCAGCCTGGGGGACACGCGGCTCTCCCGATGGCTCGGAGACACGGCCTCGCTGACAGGGGTGGTGGCACCACAGCCAGCAGCCTCTAGAAACCTCGGCAGTGTCCTGGCTCCTGCCCCGCGGTGTCACATCCCTCAGTGCCACCGTCCGGCCAGCGACAAAGCATTGGGTTTGGGCCGGGGCCACTGTGGCCGTGCCGAGGCCTGGCACGGGACAGCTCTGGGGCCGGGATCTGGCACGGCACAGAGCGTGTGGCCTCGGGCTTGGCACCGGCCAGCGCCGGGGACACCTCCGGCCACCGCCGGCCTGCAGAGCCCGCCCGCGCACGGCGCTGCGGAGCCATCCCTCTCGGTGGTGCGCATCCCCCGCGGGGCCGGCGGAGCCGCACTAAGACCCTGCGCGCCCGCCGCGCACCGCCCACACCGCCCACCGCCGCCGCCCGCCCCCTGCGCGGGGCCCGGCGTGGAGCGCTGCGCTGCGCGGGGCGGTGCGCGGGGCCGTGCGCGGGCGGTGCGCGGGCAGTGCGCGGCAGCGGGGATGGGCGGCGCGGTGCCGGTGCCGGTGCCGGTACCAGTGCCGGCGTTGCTGCTGGCGGTGCTGGCGGCGGGGCGGTGCGCGGCGCAGTACGAGCAGTACAGCGTGCGCGGGTTCCCCGCGGCCGCGCTGGAGCCGCTGCAGAGCGCCTACGAGCGGGCGCTGGAGCAGTACGCGGACGCGCAATGGGCGGAGAGCGCTCAGGGGCTGGAGGCCAGCCTGCGGCTGCACAGGCTGCTGCGGGACAGCGAGGCGCATTGCCACCGCCGCTGCGCCGGGGAGCAGCCCCCCGCGGGGGAGGGTCCCGCCGAGCAGCCCCGCGGGGAGCGGGACCCCGCGTGGGAGTGGGAGCGGGAGATGCGGCTCTTCGGGCGGCTGCTGCTCCGCGCCGGCTGCCTGCGCGCCTGCAAGCGGGAGCTGCCCGTGTTCCAGCTGCGCTACCCGCCGGCGCAGACACTGCGCGACTTCCAGCGCCGCCAGCCCTACCAGTACCTGCACTACGCGCTCTTCAAGGTGAGGCGGGGCAAATGGCAGGGGGCAGGGGTCGGGGGCATCCTGCTGCTCTATCCTGCACCACTGATCTTTCTCCTCCATCCTGCACCCTGGCTGGGCACACCCCTTCCCGGGTCTCTTCCTGTGCCACTCATCCTAGACCTCGTCTTCAACACCCCCGTTCTGCATCCCCATCCTGTGCCCCCGTCCTGCACTGTCAGCCTGCACCCTCTGATCTGCCCACCCTGAACCCCACTCCTGTCTGTCTCTGCAGCCCCTGAACCCTGCCCCGCTCCATCCTGCACCCTGCTGTCAGGTGCTTCCCCTTTCCTTCCCTCCCCATCTGGCAGCCCCCTCCAGCTCCTCCATACTGCCCCTGAGCCGTGGCACGTCAGCATCATCTGGGACACATCAGGCAGGACGACTGGGGGGCCCCTGTGGTTGCATCCCTCTACCCCACCTTGTGGTGCCCTGGTGCTCCAAGGTCTCCCTGGGCAGGCAGAGAGCACACAGGGGCTGCTCCAGCTTGAGGGGCCTGAGCTGGAGGGTCCAGTGCCTCTGTGATTGTGGTGGGACACGTGTCTGGATGCTCCATGAGAAAGAAGGAGTTGCTCAGCTTCACAGTGCAGACGTGGAGGGAGGTTTTGTGGAGGGAGGTTTCATAAGGGGGATGCTGTGTGTTGGCCAGAGTGCCTCTGGCAGGGGACAGTGCTCTGGTCAGGGTCTGGTCCCTGGCCACCTGCCACTGTGGGTGCTGTTTTAGCACTCAGCGCTGCAGCCCCACTCACCTGGCAGTGGCAAGGGACTGCCTGGCTTCATCCTTAATGCCTTTTCCTCTTGCTGCTCTGGCCCAAACCCATTTCATGGATGGGTTGGTCAAATCACCCTCCCTCCCTGCTCACTCCCCTGAAGCTGCAACCCGAGAGCCCATAAAGCAGCAGGGGTGGCAGCCAGGTCTGATGGCAGTGCTGGAGAAGGGCAGATGTGTGGGTCAAACCCACACCACGTGAATCCACCTCACACCACGAGGATCCACCTCACACCACGAGGATCACTCCTGGCTGGATGTGGGGGCCCATGAGAGGCTGAGCTGTCCCTGTGCCCATCATGGTTGATGGGGCTGGAGTTACCTGCAATTTTCACGTTCCCAGATCCTGTCTGTTCATCACTGCTAGTGGATGATTGTGCAGTGTGGGTTCAGGGCTGTTCCCCACAAGGATCAGCCCTCTCTCCTGCAGCCCAGGGGTCTGGCTGGGTGCTGAGGCCCCTTGGCTGCAGTGTGGGTTCAGGGCTGTTCCCCACAAGGATCAGCCCTCTCTCCTGCAGCCCAGGGGTCTGGCTGGGAGCTGAGGCCCCCTTGGCTGCAGTGTGGGTTCAGGCTGCCCTGCAGCAGGTCTCTGCACCGGCTCCTCCTCCCTCCACAGTCAAATAAGATCGAGAAAGCCGTGTCTGCTGCCCACACCTTCCTGCAGAAAAACCCCAAGCATGAGATGACCTTGAGGTACCTGAACTACTACAGGACGATGCTGGATGTGGATGAATACCTGGTCGACCTGGAAGCTCAGCCCTTTGAGGTAAGGAGAGGATGGGGCTGGGGCAGGAGAGGGGTTCCCCAGGGCTTGAAGCCCACCTGGGCTCCCAAAGCCCGAGGGCAGCAGCTGTCCCTCACTAAGCAGCGGTCCTCGCAGCCGATATTCGTGCGGTCAGTGAAGCTGTACAACAGCGGCGATTTCCGGAGCAGCGCAGCCGACATGGAGCAGGCGCTGGCCGAGTACTACAAGGCCTACGAGGATTGTCTGGCCGGCTGCGAGGGCGCCTACGAGCTCCAGGAGTTCAAGGACTTCTACCCTGCCATCGCAGGTACTGGAGGGCTGGGGGACGGCACATTTGGGGAGGTGATCAGGGCTGCAACACCCGACGTCTCCCCCCAGACCACTTTGTGAGCGTGCTGCAATGCAAGGTGGACTGCGAGACCGAGCTCACCCCCAACGTGGGCGGCTACTTCATGGAGAAATTCGTGGCCACCATGTACCACTACCTGCAGTTCGCTTACTACAAGCGTGAGTGCCGCAGTGAGCGGGGGGCTCTGTGTGCCCTGGGGCACCCTGGGGTGCTGTGGGCCCTGCGAGGGGTGTCCCCCCGTGTCAGCTGGCGCTGCTCCCCGCAGTGAACGACGTGCAGGACGCGGTGCGCAGCGTCTCCAGCTACATGCTCTTCGACCCGGGCGACACCGTGATGCAGCAGAACCTGGTCTATTACCGCTTCCACCGCGAGCGCTGGCGCCTGCGCGAGGAGGACTTCGAGCCACGGCCGGTGAGGACCCCCCAGCCCCCCATCCTGCGGCCCTGCACCGCCCAGGGAGGGGCTGACCCAGCCCCTGTCCCCCCTGTGCCCAGGAAGCCGTGAGGTACCACAACCAGACGGCCGCTCAGAAGAAGATGCTGGAGTTCGCCCGGCAGTACCTGCAGGATGATGATGACGAGGTACCTGATGTGGGGTGCAGATGGTGCTTTTGGGGGTGGGGGTGCTGGGTGATTCCTCAGGTGGGGGGTCTGCCCCGCTGGAGCAGACTGCAGATGAGGCTGCCGAGCCTCCTCCTGCCCCTCGTGTGCTGCAGATGGAGGTGGATGGTGGTGAGGGGCTGCAGGAGCAGGACCTGCCCTCCGATGGCGAGTTCGAGGGTGAAGGTGACTACGAGGAAGGCTTCTTCTCAGAGTGGTGGCAGGAACCCAAGACCAAAGGAGACAAAGACGACCAAGGTTCCTGATACCAGGGCTGGGGGCTGTGCTGTAGGGTGGGGGTCTGCTGCCCACAGCCCTGGTGCCACCAAACTCTCCTTGTTTGCAGAGATCCTATGATGAGCCACGTGAAGGGGGAGCCAGCACCAGCTGAGCTGGATGGTGGTGGCTCTGTGATGCCATCTTGGGGACATCGGGCTTCGGGCTCCTCCCAGCCACCGGTAGAAACTCAGACTCACGGGGAGGGGCCAATCCTGCCTGGCATCCTGCAGCAGGGCTGCCTTTGCCACCTGGATGTCTGCTGGCACAGCCCAATTCCCATCAGTGGAACACCAGCAGCCCTGAACATTCCTGCTTGCCCAGGAGCCCGGGCCACCCCTGTCCCCAGTGCCCCCAGCAGTGATGCCCCACAGCACCGGGGTTTTCTGTGTCCCTCAGCTGCTCCCCAGGATCTGTGGATGATGCACCAGGATCGACCTCTGTCTTGTCTTGAGGGGCTTAGGGCAAAGTAGGGAGCAATGCCCAAGGCTGCTGGAGCTGGTCCTGCCCCTTCCTGAGGCTCCCTGAGGCTCCTGCTCCTGTTCTGCCAGCTCCCATAGCCCAGTTCCCCTTGGACTCCCCAGCCTGGTGCTACAGGGGCTCCTGGTGTGCCATGTCCCCATGTCACCACGGGGCTGCAGCCTGGTGAGGCTGTGGCACCTGTGCTCTGCCCGTGCCTTGAAATTTTGCCACACCAGCCCTCTCTAGCCTTAAGCTCCATTAATTTAAGATTTCCCTTCTTGCACAGTTGCTCTTTTTATGTATTTACTGGTGCTGAACTTTTAATAAAATCCAGACTGGTCTTTTCATGGCTGCCTCCACCTTCCATGTGCTGCCACCGTGGGATCCAGGAGCTCAGAGCAGGAGAGGCCCTGCTGTGGGAGAGGAAGGGATGAGTTCAGGCCTGGATGTCCCCACAGATGACCTGGGGGAACTCGTAGGGCTGGGGACCCATGGAGGCCATGGGAGCAGCCAGGCTCCTGTGAGGCTCTGGGTTCCTGAGGGGGACCCCAAATGGGATCCCTGATCCCACTGACTGTCAGGTGAGGTTGGGGGGAGCTGCAGGGGGCTGGAGGGCAGCATGTCCTACCCCATAAGGGTCTTTGGGGTGTGATATCCATGAGCTGATGGTTGTTTTGGGGTACAACGCTGTGACACTGCTCCTTGGGGATGCATCACCCTGATCCAGGATTGGAGGGTGCAATGCATCCCCCGATGAAGATGGGGGTGGCAGGGTGGGGTGACCCCCTCCTGCCTGCATCGGGGCTTTTTGGGGCCCGCTGGGGGTCTCTGTTGGTGCTGACAAACCTGTGCCAATCCCGGGCAGTGCGTGCCCGACCACTCCTCCCTGCCGTGCTCCCTCCCGCTCGCGTGGAAATTGGCTACGAGGACTGAAACTGAGAGGCTGAATCACAGCGTTGGCCCCGGGGGAGGGAAGGGATGGGAATGGAAGGAAGAGGGTGGCAAGAGGCTGCCAGCACCCCACCCTGCCCTGCCTGGAACCCCTGCACCGGGGCTTTTCCAGCTCTGCAGGGCAGCGGGTGGGATGCAGGGGCTGAGCCCCCAGACCCGTGGGCAAAGCTCAGAGCTCGGGGAGGCACTGCTGGGAGGGGGCACCCACTGCACCCTGTGCCGGGACATGGCTGTCCTGTCACTTGGGAGGAGCTGTGTTTGTCACCGATGGGTCACATCTCGGGAGGGGAGAGCCAGCCCGGTGGGGTGTGGCCGGTGGATGAGCGGCGCTGGCACCGCAGCCCGGGGGACAAAGGCCTGCGGATCTTCCCAACAGCTGGGCGAGGGTGGCACTGGGCCCAGGTGGCCTCCGCCCTGCTCTGACACACCTGGGCACCGTGTCCCCTCCCCAGCCCCACACTCACGAGAAGACAGCTCCTCTCTCCCACCGGTCTGCTGGCACCAGGCAAAACCCCTCGCAGCCGTGAGCTGGGGTCCCTTCCCCGCTCCCACCTGCATCCACCACCGGCAGTGCCAGGCGGGAGCAGAGCTCTGGGAGCGGCGGTGTGACCCGGCGGTGGCTGTGACGGGGAGCATGGCCACCGTCCTGTCCCCCCGGACAGGGAGAGTCGAGCTGCGGGGCAGTGCCGGGGTGCAGAGTGACTGGCTGGGGACACGGGGGTGGGATGCAGGGGATGCAGGGGATGCAGGAAGCTGGGTTACATCTCGCGCTTCCCTGACACCCTCGACCTTGACCAGGAGGGGAGCGTGAATGAGATTTCTGGCCGACGCCTCAGCTGCGCTCTGCCGTGCCGTGCCGTGCCGCGCCGTGTGCCCATTTCCTTGTGCCGAGAGCTCTGTCGCTGTGCTCCGGATCTCCCGCTCAGCGCACAGCCATGAATTAATTCCCTTTCTCTTGCAGGGGCGGTGGAAGCGCTGTCTCTCACCTCCCTTGGGAGCTGAGAATCCCCGCCTGGCAGCGCTCGCTGTCAGACGTAGCACGGAACCGTACAGGCAGCGGGGGTGCAGGATGCTCCCTCCTCATCCTCACCGGGGCAGAATCCTCCTGCTCCCCGCACCTGGGGGTCCTGGGGTGGGCTGGGACATATCCGATGGATGACTCGGGCACTGGGTGACGGCGGCTTCGCCCGGGACGCGGCGGCAGCACCCGGCTGGACCGGTCCGGCGGGGACCGGGCTGACGCAGCGCCAGCAGCCCCGAGCCCTTCCCGAATGCCGCTTCCAGCCGCCCCCGCGCTCCTGCCTCGGGGGTCCCCGCACGGCTCGGGGGTCCCCGCACGGCCCAAGGTCCCCGCACGGCCCGGGGGTCCCCGCACGGCCCGGGGGTCCCCGCGCCCCCAGCCCTGCCCAGGGGCGGGGCCCGGCCCCACCTGGCCGCGCCCACTGACGTCACCCAGGTGGTCCCCTCGTGGTCGCGCCCTTGCTCTGCCGCCGCCGCGCCCCGCCCACCGCGCCCCGCTGTCCAATCACCTGCGGGAAGGGGGCGGGGCGACCGCGCCCCCGCCAATGGGGAGCGGATAAACACGTCCGGCGGGGGCGGAGCCCGGCGCGCCCGGGGGTTGATGGGCGTGCGGAGCAGCCAATAGCGGAGGGGCGGCGCGGGGGTGGGGCCTGAGGCGGGCGGGGCGGTGCGCGGGGCGCTGCTCGCCTTTTGTTCGGGCAGGAGCGGGCGGGTGGCGGAGAGCGACGGTGAGCGGGGCCGGGACACCGGGAACGGGTGGGGAGGGACGGTGAGCGGGGCCGGGACACCGGGAACGGGCGGGGAGGGACGGTGAGCGCGGCCGGGACACTGGGAACGGGCGGGGAGGGCCGGTGAGCGCGGCCGGGACACCGGGAACGGGCGGGGAGGGACGGTGAGCGCGGCCGGGACACTGGGAACGGGCGGGGAGGGCCGGTGAGCGCGGCCGGGACACCGGGGGGGTGAGGGGTGCCGGGCACGCCGGAATGCTCGGTGTGACACGGGGAGCGACGGTGAGCGGGGCGGGGCACCGGGAGCGACGGTGAGTGGAGCCGAGTCAGCGAGCATCGGGCATGGGGGACCGGCGGTGAGCGGCAATAGGCTGGCGGAACCGGGCAGGGGTCGCTCCGGTGAGCGGGGAGGGTCCGGAGGAGCGGGCTGGCGGCGGGGAGTGGTCCGGTGAGCAGAGTTGGAGCGGCCGGGACGGGGCCGTTGGTCGTTCCGGGCTGGGCTGCAGCGGAGCCGTGCGGACTCCGCCGTGCGGCGCTGGGGAGCGGCCGCGCTCGGGGCGGGGAGGACCTGGATGTCCGGGCCGGGCAGCACCGGGCATCCCGGTTCGGTCCCGCTGCCGCCGTCTGGGGCAGGGCTCCCCGTGTGCTGCCCGTGAGCTCGGCCCGACTGGGCGGGTCCCCGGGGCTTCCCCCGTGGGCAGCCGGGCTATCCCAGTGCCGATTCCAGTTTGGGAATCGCGGCTCCGCGCTCCGGTGCCAGGCGGTGACTCTGTCCCCGGCCCCGCCCGGAGCTGCCGTTGCGCGGGCGAGGCCCTGGCACGGCGCTCGCCCGGTGCTCCGGGGCTCTTACGCAAACGGGGCTGCTCCGTGCCCACAGCCACACCTGGGGACACCGCGTGCTGCTCTCGGGTCACCTCGGCATCGCCCCGACATCGAAGGGGTCGGAGCTACCATTCGCCCGCCGCCTGCCATGTGAGGTCTGGGGGCTGAGGGGGTGCGGGTGACCTGGCATCACCCGGATAGCCCCCGGGGGTGAGGGGTGCCGGGCACAGTGCGCACGGGGGGTCCCAGCTGAGCCCCGGACAGCGGACATCCGCACCGGGACACGGCGGGGGGAGCGAAACTTGGCTGTTTGTCTGATGTTTGGAGAGGAGAGAGCGCTCTAATTGCGTTAGCTGAGTGATTAGCTTAATTAATCAGGTTTACAGCGCAGATGAAAGGATAATGCTGAAATGTTGCTGGGAGTTGCCCGGAGAAGGCAAACGTGGGCTGTCATACGAGCAACGCCGGGCGGCGTGTGCTGGGAGAGGAGCGTGAACGCTCAGGAGGGGACGGGACAGGGTGACCTGCGCCACCCTTGTGCCTGCCCGGGTGTGAGGCCATCAGCCTGCACCCTCTCCGGCCAGGCTGGACACCCCTGCACCCCCATAACGCTGTCGGGGTGCCTGGGTGAGTCCCATGTCTGGTTTCATGTTCCCTTGTCCGCTTCCCCATACCAGAAGGGTGGTGGGGGCTGGGGACACAGCCCCGTGACACAGCCCCCCCCAGTCGCTTCACCTCCTGCTCCAGCCCACGTCGTGCTGGTTTTGGCGCTGGTGCCAGCCCCGAGCAGCTCGCTCTGGTGTCCGTCTGCCGTGGGCTGCTGGGGAGCCGGGGGCGCAGCGTCTCCCCGGCAGCTGCCGCGGGGATGGGGCTGGAGCGGTGCCGGGGGCGTTTGCTCCGGGCTGGCAGCCGCATCCAGGGCAGGTGCAGTGTCCGCGGGGGCTGCTCCGGGCTCCGCTCTCGGAGTGTCCGGTCCAGCCGGAAACAGGGCTGAGAAAATTACAGGGGTCCATTTCTGTGTCCTTGTCGGTGTCGGAGCTGGCTGGAAGGGTGCAGGGCACCACTGGAACTGCGTTTGCACATCTGAAGCCTGTTATCGCTCATTGTTTTGGAGGATTTCCATGAAGTGTCATGAAAAACCCATTTTACTGCTAATTTGGCTTAGACAAGTTGGCCATGAGGACGGGGACGCTGCAGAGCTGTGGCTGAGGATTGTGCTCCCTCCTTGCACCGTGGCTGCTGTGCGGAGCGGGGACACACGCGGCTCCCCAGGGCTCCGGGCGCTGGGGAAAGGTGGGGCGGCCGTGCGGGGCCCTCTCTCAGACAATGGCGTTACAGTCTATTGTCTGGGCGATGTGCCGTGTCCTTGCCGGCTCCAGGAAGCGCCTTCATCCCCGGGAGGGGGTGGGGGGACGAGCCGGGCTGCTGGGAGGGGTCTCCTGGGGCTGGGTGTGCGAGTAGTTTGTGCTCCGTGCCTGGAGCCCCCGGGGCAGCGCGGGTGAATCGTGGCCGGGCTGCAGCCGGGGGGCTTGGGGGATGTCCCCTCTGGTCCTGGTGCCGCATTTCAGCGTATCATTCGGCGCTGCCCTAATCCCATTAACTCACCCCTTTGTTTCCCCCACCTGAAAGCCTTCCTCAGCAGCCGGGCAGGCACTGCGGTACAGCTGCACGGCTCCTGCAGCTCAGCCCGTTCCTGCGAGGACGGCTTCCCTTCAAGACTGTGGTTTGGTGTGGGAGCGCTTGATGGGATTTGGCTTTTTATCACACTTCCAGATCTCCGGGATTTAAGACGGCGCTTTTGCCGGGCGCGCTGCCGCTCGCAGATGGCAGAGCCTGGGAGCGAAGCTGCCCTTGGCCCCGCTCCGCAGGCTGGAGGAGCAGAGCCTCTGCACGGAGAACTTGCAGAACTTTAATTGCAGCATCTGTACCGACGCTTGTGCTGGTTTTGAAGGTTTAAATTAGGCTGGCTTCTAATTAACAGAAGTTAAAATGAAATGTCGTGTCTATTATAGCAGTACGAGCCTACCTCAGGTTCAGCTGGTGCTTCCCCACCTAGACAGGGTGTGTGGGCACCCAGCATCACCCAGGGCTGGGGGCAGCTGGTCAGTCCCAGCCCCGTGGGGTGTCCCAGGTGGGTCTGTGTGCATGGACACGGCTGGGGATGGCAGCTCGGGAGGACACCAGGGCTGCATCCGTGCCTTGAATCGCATTCTCTGCTCTGGGAGGGTTGATTTTACCCCTCTTTGCTGATGGACATACTTGAAAAAGTGGCGGACAAGGGCGTGGGAAGGTGCAGGTACTGCCGCTCCAAAAAAGCTTAAAACTTGACCTCAGCACCATGTCTGTGCTTAAACAGGGCTGGCTTTGCAGCCACACCCGGTTTGTCGATGGCTGCGCGGGGTGGGGTGGGGGGGGAGGTGAAGATGTTTCTATTTAAGCAGAGGTTTGAAATACCCTTCTAAATCCGCCATCCCCGATGGGTTCTGCGGCGGCTGCTGGCGGGCCTGGAGGCATCCTGGCACGCCTTGGACTCTCAGCTCCGGAATGGCTTTGGAAGCGGGGCAGGAGCCTCGCACCGCGGCTGCCGGGGCTTGTCGGGCAGCCCGCGACATCTGCGCTGTCTGTTCCCAGCCAGTCCCCGGGCCTCCTTCCCAGCTTCTGGCGGGGTGGAGGCGGAATGCTCGGTGTTTTCCCCATATCCCACGCTCGGGTGGGCAGATCTGGGAGGGGGTGACCGTGGCAGTGCCCTCCGGGGGGGCTGCCCCGCTGCCGGGGCACAGACCCCGTGGGGTGGGTACACTGGGGTGCCGTGTGGCTTTTGGGGGTAGGGGGCTGGGTGAAAAGCGTTCCTCTGAGTGGGGGGAGAGACCTTTGGCTGCTGGCAGAGCCTGCTGTAATCGCGGTGACGCGCGGGCAGAGCCCTGGTGACAAATCATTAACTTGCTCCGACAGGCCGGGTGCTGACGGCTGTTGGTGATAATTTCTTGTGAAGCGTCTGAACTTTGCAGCTGTAATGCAACTGGATGGAGAAATTAAGCCGGGGCTCAGCACCTCTGCGCCCCTCCTCGCTGCCCCAGCTCCTCTGGCAGGGCTGGGTGGCAAAGCCTGGGCACCGTGGTTGGAGCTGGGAACAGCCAGCAAGGTTCAGAGCCTGCAATTATAGCGTGCTTAAAGAACAACTTGTTCTTTGTGCTCGTTGAAACAAAATAATGGTTTTTGATTTTTTTTTATCCAGATGGAGTAATTGTGATTAATCTCACCATGCCAGTTCTCCTTTCCGTGGACAAGTGGCAAATTCCCATCTTTCCTGGGCGTGATTCTAATGAGATCAGCAAACTGTGAGGAGGAGATGAGCCCATGTGGGTCCTCCTGATCCTGCAGGTGGAGGTGTCTGTGCCAACAACTAGTGATGTGGGGAGGGGGATGATGAGCTGCCAGAGACCCCGCAGTGGGATTTTGGCAGGTGGATGTCCCTGGGAGAGCTTTCCCTGGGCTGAGGGTCCTGCTGTGAGCCTGCACAGGAGCAGGGGGTGGGTGTCATGCTCAGTGCAGTGTGTGCTTGCAGCAGGAGAGCACTTGATGGATAATACTGTGTTGGTTTGTGATGTGAAGTGCCAAAACATCACAGCCTGGGCCTGGCGTGTGCTGGAGCTGTCAGGAGCTGTTAATTCAGGTGCAGGCGAGGCATTTCGGGGACACGGTCTGGGTTGATGGAGAGCATCAGCTGAGCGCAGCAGGTCGTGGCACAGTTGCCACGTTCTGGGTCTGCCCTGCTGCCAGAGCCTGGTCTGGTGCTCAGGGGGATGCAGCACCCCCAGCAAGAGGAGCTGGAGCTTTGCATGAGGCATTCAGCAGCTCAAATGTAACAACATCACAATAGCTGGAATATAAAAAAGGTTTGGAGCCCCCTCCAGTGAAGGAGCCTGGATCTGAAGCTCCTGCCCCCTGCTGCCTTTCCTGAGTGCCCAGAGCTGGTGGGGCAGCCAGGAGCCCTTCTGGACCAGGCTACATCCACACACAAAGGCCATGGGCTCCTTTGTGTGCAAGGCCAGGCCAGTGGTTCTGCCTGCTCTAACGAGAGGCTGATCCCCCGCCGCTGTCTCCTCCTCATTAAACTTCAAGCTGCTCTCGTTCCCCTTTGAATTCTTCCACTCATCTTCCCTGTAAAGCCCCATTGAAAGGGCTCCTGGTGCTGAGATCTGACTCGAACGCTTCCCATTGATGCTGGTGAGGTCTTGACAAGCTCCTTTCTCTGCCTGCTCCCGCTGTGTGTTCCCGAGGATCCTCTTCAAAACCACTGAAGCTTTTGTGCAGTGTCTGCAGGGCCTTCGTTAGCGGCTGCCCCAGCTTCATCAGCCCTTGGTGTCGCTTCGGAGCACCTTGGGCCAGGGGCTCTGGGTGTTGGGGGACTTTGAGGTGCAGCTCTCCAGGGTGCACAGGGTGCCCTTGTGTGGGAAGAGCTGCTGTGGCTGCCCAGGCCAGCGCTGCCTGAGCAGGCAGTTGCTAATCCCCACTGCTCCAGGAAGGGGGGGACCGGAGATGGCTTGTGTGTAGTGTAAGTGCTTCTAAAATAGAGTCTTTTCTTGTGCTGCATTTATTGAATTGCCTTAACTGCCTCTTCCCTTTCCTTAAAAGCCTTGGCGACTCTAATTGCGGCCGCTCGCACGCTCCCACACCGAGCTCAGCCCCTCTCATGCTGTGGCTGCATGAGGGGACCCCCCAGCACTGTTGTTCTTTGCTCCTTTGAGCAAGGGTGGGGTTCTGGGGGGCTCTGGCAGCCCCCTGCTGGCACCCACACTGCTCCATGCCGGGCTGAGGGCAGGCTGGACCTGCCTGAGTGAGCTCAGGCTGCCCCTCACACCCCCTGACCCTGAGACCCAGTGCCTGGTCCAGTGCAGCCCCTTGCCTGGGGCTTGTCAGGGTGCCCTGTGCCCCCCCACCTGCTCCCCTTGGGGTGACCCCAGGCTGGGGATCACGGCTGCTCACCCCCAGGACCTCGAGAAGCCCCTGGGCAGTGGATATTTCTGCATGAAGCAGCACTCACTGCTTTCCTGCTGCTCTTCTGGGCAGCTCAGCCCTGTCTGCCGGCTGTGTCCTGCCTGGTGAGGCTGAAGGCTTCACAGCAGCTGGTGGGAAGGGCTGGTCAGGCCTGGGGCTGCATGTTTGCCAGAGACTTCCTCCCAGACGGTGTCCCGGGGGGCTGTGCTGCTTGGACGCTGATCAAATGGCTCCGGGGGCGGATGAGCTGCTGGCCGGTGCCCGACAGCCTGCGGGAGCTTCCTCTGCCTTCCTGGCTGAGGGAAGTGGTGGGAGAGGGATTAACCTTTTCCTGGCAGTGCCCTGCTTGAGTGACATAAGACCCTGCCTGTGCTGCATCCCATGGCTGAAGCCCCTCAGGTGTCTTGGCCCCTTCCCTGTTGTGGTGTAGGAGCAGGCTGGAGGTTCTCCCCAAACCTGCTGGGCCCTCTGAACAGTCCCCCACAGCTGCCTCACTGTTTTCTGGGGGATTTCTCACTGTTCCCAGGAGCAAATCTTATTTTCCTGGGGTCTAGGTTTGTGTGGAGTGGGGCTCAGGTGAGGCCTGGTGGGTTTGTTCTGCTTTCACTGTTCTCCCCTTCCCACTCTGCCAGCTTGGTGGGGGAGGTAAGAGCTGCCCACAGGCCTGATGTGGGAGGGCTGGAGCCCACCCAAACATGCCCCTTGCTTGTGGCTGACCCTTCAGTGTGGGTATTTTCACTTGTGCCCCAAATAACACCCTGCTTCTCCCTCCAGCATGAGGGTCCCTCCCTGCTACAGCACTTCCCTAGAAACACTGCCAGGAAATGGCTCCTGATAAGGTGAGCCCAGGGGTAACCAGCACCCCTCTCCTGCTGGGGATGAGAGGGGACATCTGAGGACAGAGCCAGGCTGTGGAGGACGGGGGAGAGGCTTGTGTCAGTGTCTGCCCCTCGCGGAGTGATGAGCAGGGCACGCTTGACACAGGGCTCAGAAAATGTCACTGCTCACCGTGGGAGCGTCTGGCATTTGCTGCACTGGCCCTGTCACCTCGGGTGCTGTTGGCCTCGCTGGTCCCTGTGGCCATGAGCAAATGCTGTTGGGGGGATGCTCAGGGGAAGGACAGGTGCCTGTGTCCCTTCTGTGGGGCTCCTGGTCCTGCTCTCCTGCCTGGAGCTCGTCTGGGGCCGATCACCAGAGCTCGTGTCTGAGCTCGAGGAGCTCTGCTGGCTTTTGATGTCCCTGGGTGCTGTGGTGCAGACAGAAGGGGTGGCTCATGCATAATGCAGGGCTCTGTACGGTGTCTGAGCCCAGCTCCTGGAGGTTTGGAAAATTAAGTGCCTGTCTGATGCCTCTAAATTGTGGAGTGGATGTCAGTGTTTGACAGTGGTGCAGCAGCATCAGCCCCTGCCAGCTCTGTCAGCTGCTGCCTGGGGTCCCTGCCCTGGCTGTGTGGTCTGTACTGCCCTCAGCTCTGCTCTCCCCCTGCCCACCTTGTCCAGGGCAGCTTTCCAGTTTTGGCCTGGGCTCTTGGGGCTCTGCAGGTGCGAGGGGTGCCAGCTCACCCAGCACCACGGTGATGAGCCCGGCCAGTGCCACAGAGCCCTCTCCTGCCTACCCCTTCCACACTTCATAAGGCACGACTATTGCTTCTCTTGAGTTTCCCAACACAATTTAGACTCTGCCACCGTGGCCGGGATGATCCAGCTGAAGGAGCTGCCCTCCCAAATCCCAGCGCAGCAGCGCCCGGGTGCAGCTCCGCGGCACTCCCAGCTCCGCTCCGGGGCTCTCACGGCCCATCCCTGCTGCGACGCGGGGTGGGGAGCAGAGCTGCCTCTCCTCTCGCCCCTGGCACCATGTGTCACACGCTGTCCTGCCCCACTGATCCCACACCCCGGCTCCCACCCGGCTCTGCCTCCACCGCCCTCCGCTGCCTGACCACCGTGCGTTGTGCACAGCCCATTAGAGCTGCTCTGAGTCTGCCAGTGCTGCTTGACAGCTCAAAAAATATCGGATTGGCAGCAGCAGCGCCCTGCCGCGGCTCCGGGAAGGCGCCTGGGGCTGGGGGATGCCCCTACCCGGGGGGGACAAGCGTGGCGGGCTCCTGTTTCCCATCTGGCCGCTGCTCCTGCGAATGAAAGCTTGGGATTCCTCCCTGTGCAGCTGCCGGGGGCTCGGCCGCTCCTTGGGAACAGCCGGCAGCGCTGGGCCGAGCCGTGCCAAGCCGTGCCAAGCCCGTGCGCGCCGTGCCCCGCCGAGCCGCGTCCTCGGCCACCACCCGACGCCCTGAGTCAGCCGCCGGCCTGGCGGGGGGCTCAGCTCCGTGTCCTCGCTCCCCCGGGAGGGTTTTGGTGCCCGAAGCTGCCGCCCCAGCCCGGCCGGTCCCCGCGGGTCCCGCGCTGCGCTGGCGGCTGGAGCGGAGCCAGGGCTGCGCGGCCGCCCCGGCCCGGCCCGGCGCGGGAATCGGGGCCGCTGCGGGCGGTAATTAGGCTGTTTGGAATGGGTGCTGCTGCGCCCAGGTATGCCGGGCGGCAGCTGCTCCCTTTGCTGCTTATCGCCTCTGAAACTCTGACTCATTCCTCTCCTGCGCGGCCGGGAAGGGATAGGAATCCTGGGTGATGGGTCAGCGGAGGGCTGGGCGGGTGCTGTCTCCATCCCTCCTTCCCTGCCTGCCTCCAGCCCTCCCTCCCCGCCTGCCTCCATCCCTCCTGGTCATGCCGGGGGCCTGGATGCAGGGCTGGTGACTCACAGCCCTGAGTGAGCTCAGGCATTAATCCATGAGCCGTCCTCCCTCCCCCTGTATCTCCAAATTAAAGACAAGGAAATCCCAGCCCTGCTCCCAGCAACCTTGGCTGGTTTGTCCTGAGTGTTGGGATGTGCCGGGCTGCCCTGTCCTGGCACTGAGTGAGGAGTGCCCAGCCCTGGACCACGCCGTGGGCGCCTGTCGTGCTGAGCACCCGTGGGAGAGCTGAGCCAGGGGCTTTGCCTGCTTATTTTTAGGTGCCTTAGGAGTGTCCCAGGAAGCTTCTAAAAAGGTTCATTTTATGCTTGGAGCTCCAGCCATATGGAGCTTGGAGCTCCTGGCGTGTCCCCAGCTCTGTGCAGGTTGTGTCTCTGGAAAGGGTCTTAAAAAAGCTCAGGGGCAGCCAGGGACCCCGGAGCTTGTGGTGTCCCACTGTGCTGGGCAGAGCCTGCCCACACCTTGGCCGTGGCAGTGGTGAGACACGGCGCTGCGAGACGCAGCCGCCGTTCATGTCTGAACACGAGCAACAAAGTGCTGAGCTTCGGGTTCGTCATCGCGGTGCCGCCTTTCATCTCCGGCGGGGGAGGAGGGCAGATAGGGATCGGCTCCATCTGCTCGTGGGGGCCGGCTGCTGCGCGGGGCCTGCCGTGCCATTCGGGGGCAGGAGAGGAGAAGGAGGGTCCTGCGGATACCTAGGCTCTCCTGGAGGTGTAACACCTGCCCTGCCCACCCCGCAGAGCAGCCATGGAGGTGATGAACATGATGGAGCAGCCGATCAAGGTGACGGAGTGGCAGCAGACCTACACCTACGACTCCGGAATCCACTCCGGCGTCAACACGCAGGTGCCCTCCGTCAGCAGCAAGTGCCTCGCGGATGATGACGAGGTCTATGGGAAGCAGTACACCATCAAGAAGACAACCACCACGAGTTACTGCCAGGGAGGGAGCCAGAGCCAGAGCCAAGCGCAAGGTAAGGGGCTGTGAGGCCCGGCACTTCCGCAGGCTCAGCTGCTCAGCTCCTGCCTTCCTCTTCCTCCCCCGCAGCCATGCTGCTTCTGGGTACTCCTCCATGCTGGCTTCCACACCCTGGGAGTTGTTGCTGCCTAAAATATGCTTCCTCCTGTCCTCCTCCCCGGCGCTGAGAGGCTCCGGCGCGGGGGTGGCGCGCGGTCAGCCCGCGCTGGAGCTGAGCTGCGCGCACATCCGAGCGTGCCAGGGGGTTGGCTTGAGATGGGAACAGCTGATCCCATCCCACGGATCTGCCACCTGCTCTACTGCCTGTCTGCCTGCTGGGAAAGCTGTCCCAGTGTGGCTGCCAGAGCTGCCAGTGTGTGCCGTAACACCGTGGCACTGCCACGGCTTCTCCCGCTGAGGCGAGGACGATGCGGAGCCGCAGCCTGGAGTGAGGAAGATGCTTCCCCCAGCTTTATCCCCTCAGAGGGGCTGGTTTGCTCTGCTTGCTCTGCAGTTCCCTGTGGGCAATAGGCTCTGGAAGGTTTATTGACAGCTCCCATGGGGATCAGAGCCCCCCACAGGACCCTGTGCAGTCCTTGTGGTGCAGAGATGGTGACCATGGGTGGCTCCCGCAGTATCGCACCTCAGCATCCTCGATGGGGAAGGCCTCAGTGCTCTCCTTTTTACCAGTGCCAGCTAGTCCCAAGTTGCAAATATCCTTAATTTTTTAATTAATGGGCCTTGTGTGACAACTGCCCCATCATGCTGCCTAATTGAGTGTTGTCTTATCTCTGTGCTGCCGGATCTGTTTACACTTTGAAGCTCCAGCTCTGCGCAGAGCGTGCGGGGACTGCTGACGTGGCCGGTGTCTCTGTGCTAAGCTCTTGCTCATCTCCTTGGGTTTGGCAAGCAGGGCTGGGAGCACTCCTTGGAGAGAGCCTCACGCTGCCTCCCTGTCCCCCCCTGCAGCGGACATGGAGGCTCAGCTGGCCATGACCCGTGCCCAGCGTGTCCGGGCCGCCATGTACCCCGAGACAGTGGAGGACCGCTCGCTTCTCATCACCACCCAGCTGGAGGGGCAGCAGACCAACGTGCAGCGCCTGGCAGAGCCCTCCCAGATGCTGAAGTCAGCCATCGTGCACCTTATCAACTACCAGGATGACGCCGAGCTGGCCACACGTGCCATCCCAGAGCTCACCAAGCTGCTCAACGATGAGGACCCGGTAAGGAGCTATGTTTGCTGTGTTTGTCTCTTCAGCTGCTGCACCTGTGGGGCTCTGTGGCCATGTCTGTCTCCTTCCCCTTGGCCAAACTCCTGCTTGCCTCCACCCTGCACCAGACTGAGGTGCAGGACTGAGCTCACCCCTGCCCAGCCACGTCACCTCACCTCCTGTCCTTGCTGCGGGACCCCTTCCCAGACGCCGGCTCCTCTCCCTCCAGGTGGTTGTCAGCAAGGCAGCCATGATTGTCAACCAGCTGTCCAAGAAGGAGGCGTCGCGCCGCGCGCTGATGCAGTCGCCGCAGATCGTGGCGGCCGTGGTGCGCACCATGCAGAGCACCAGCGACCTGGACACCGCCCGCTGCACCACCAGCATCCTGCACAACCTCTCGCACCACCGCGAGGGCCTGCTCTCCATCTTCAAGTCTGGTGGCATCCCAGCCCTCGTCAGGATGCTGAGGTGCACGGTGGTGGGGACGCCACGGGGGTGGCAGAGCCTGGCTGCCCCTCCTGGGATGGGGGCAGAGGAGGGGAGGGCTCATGCTGTCCTCAGTGTGGGTCCTCATGCTCACCAAAGCAATGGGAGGGTGTGAAACTGTGAAAACCCCTGGGGTTTGCTGTGTGGAGCCTGCATGGGGGCAGGAGGAGGGGAGCAGCTACCTCACCCACACTGCCCTGGCCACAGAGATGGGGCTCAGGCTCTGAGGTGTCCGTTCCCTGGGGCCATGCTGAAGGGTGATGTGGGTGCTGGGCTCAGGGCAGCCCTGAGGGCTCTACTGCAGCCTGGTGTGAGTGTGGGGTAGTTCCTGCCCTGACGTGGTGTGTGCTGTCTGCCCACAGCTCACCCGTGGAGTCTGTTCTCTTCTACGCCATCACCACCCTGCACAACCTGCTGCTGTACCAGGAGGGGGCCAAGATGGCCGTGCGTCTGGCTGATGGGCTGCAGAAGATGGTTCCCCTGCTGAACAAGAACAACCCCAAGTTCCTGGCCATCACCACTGACTGCCTGCAGCTTCTGGCCTATGGGAACCAGGAGAGCAAGGTGGGCTGGGGATCCCAGACAGGCAGGAGGGAGGCTGGTTGCCCAACTTCGCAGCTCACAGATGTGCAGGAGGCAGCAGTGGAGACCCCACCATCTCGTGCATCCCTGATGGTGTGTCCAGAGCATTCCTGCCTGCCAAGGGGCTGGAGCTCCTGCCTGGCTTGTGTCCTGGCATGAGCTGGGGAATCTGGAAAGGGGGTCCCAGCAGCCCAGGGCTGCCACACCCCAACCCTCCATTTTGATGCCTCATCCCTGGAAGTGTTCAGGATCAGGTTGGGCAGGGCTTGGAGCCACCTCATCTAGCGGAATGTGCTGCTGCCTCTGGTGGAGGGTGGGACTGGATGTTCTTTAAGGTGCCTACCAACCCAAACCATTCTGGGATTCTGTCTTGCAGCTGATTATTTTGGCCAATGGAGGACCCCAGGCCCTGGTGCAGATCATGCGCAGCTACAACTACGAGAAGCTGCTCTGGACCACGAGCCGTGTGCTCAAGGTGCTGTCGGTGTGTCCCAGCAACAAACCTGCCATCGTTGAGGCTGGTAAGAGAGGCTGGGGCAGAGCCACAGGAGGAGGCTTTTTCAAGACCCTTTCCAGAGACACACCCTGCACGGAGCTGGGGACATGCCAGGAGCTCCAAGCATAAAATGAACCTTTTTAGAAGCTTCCTGGGACACTCCTAAGGCACCTAAAAACAGGAGGAGGGTGAATGGTGGTGTAAGGGAGATGTGGCTGAGGACATGTCCTCTCACATGTCTGTGGGACGGGCAGAGGTCTGCACAACCAAGTGAAGCCTGGATTCCTGCTCTGGAGGCTACTTAGGCATGTTCCTGGCACTGTGTGTGGGCAGGATCCATCCTGGCTGTCCAAGAGCTCTTCACACACCACATTTGGCCTCCACTGAGCCATGAGGCTGCTCTGTGTGCAGCAGCATTGGCCCATGCCCAGCCCACCCAGCCCTGCTGCTGCTCTCTCCTCCTCCTGCTGGGATGGCCAGGGCTGCTCACAGGACTGTCCCCTTCCCTGCAGGTGGCATGCAGGCACTGGGCAAGCACCTGACCAGCTCCAGCCCCAGGCTGGTCCAGAACTGCCTGTGGACCCTGAGGAACCTTTCTGACGTGGCAACCAAACAGGTGAGTGTGCAGGACCCCTGGCTGTGCCTCGGTGCCACGTTTTGGAGCCGTGTCCATGCCCGGTGCTGGCTGGCTCATGCCAGGCTGAGTCCAAAGCCTTGTGTTCCCTGTTCCATGTGCCTGGCAGGGCGAGGGGATGCCCTGCTGTGCCCGAGTCACCCAGCAGCAGGGCTTGCCCTGCATCCCGGGGTGCTGCTCCCTGCCTGTGGCCTTGCCCATGCCAGCTGGCTGCCAGCACTCCTGCGTGTCCCCAGTGCTGGGCCGAGACCACTGCGGTCACTCAGCGGTGCCACCAGAGTTTGCTCTGGCTCGGGAGCCCTGTCAGCCTGTCCTGGGCTGGCTGCATGCCCAGCTCCTGGGGGAGCTGCTGGCAGAGCTGCTGCCAAGGCTGTTGTGCCCTGCAGCTGGTGCAGAGGTGACCCCAGCCCTGCTCTGGGTCTGCTCTCCCAGCCCTCTGCTGCCTCCTGATGAGTTTTCCCATCTGCTGGGGCTGCTCCATGTGGATTAGCTCTGATGCAGCCTGGAAACTATTTTGGCTGTCATGGAACCATCCCTGGCTCTGATGACTGAAGGGTTGAAGGAGGATGTGGTCATGGTGCTTTAACTCCTTCCTGACCTGCTACTGGCTGCTGGCCAGCACAGCCAGGACTGGGGTCACTCCATCACTGTGTGGGGAGTGCTGGCAGGGGCATTGGAAGTGTGATTCCAGCAGGAGACATTAAACTCTGAGTGAAACTGTACATGTTAAGAGTGGCTGGGGCTCACTGTGAAGGAGCAGCTCCAGCTGTGGGGGATGGAAAAGGAGCCATGGAGGGATGGAAAAGGAGCTGTGTGGGAGTCAGGAGCACTGTGGCCCCCCCATCACTGCCTGCTGTGGGGCTGGATGTGGGGCTGGAACTTGGGTCTGGCTGTGTGTGCTGCTCCCACCTCCCATCCCACTCCTGCAGGAGGGCCTGGACGGCGTCCTCAAGATCCTGGTGAACCAGCTGAGCTCTGACGATGTGAACGTGCTGACCTGTGCCACTGGCACCCTCTCCAACCTGACCTGCAACAACAGCAAGAACAAGACCCTGGTGACGCAGTCCAACGGGGTGGAGGCCCTGATCCACACCATCCTGCGGGCGGGTGACAAGGAGGACATCACCGAGCCGGCCGTGTGCGCCCTGCGGCACCTCACCAGCCGGCACCCCGAGGCCGAGATGGCCCAGA